CCAGATTTAATTATATCGATCAATACGACAGGTGGTATTCATTATAAACGAAAGGCGGATGACAACATACATGAAAAAGTTATAGAGGTATTGACGACGGGATTGGCTACTGCGGCAAGGACAGCAAGTATAAGTAGTCCAAACAAAGTTACATTTTAAGCTGACGGAATGTTTTCTGATGCCTTCTATAGACGCTTGGATAACAACTTCAGGGCTAAATAGGGCTACCGTTCAGTGGGTTGGTGAAGCATTGACCAATGATACTTATGGTGTCGATGTACCTTGTATAGGTTTTTGTAGTTGGGGATACACTGCAGGTATGATAAAGAAAGGGCTTTGTAAATCCTACTTTTGTAATCTGTTTGACAATCTCATGACGCCTTGGACTCTTTAGACTTTCTGATTCTGCTCCAGCAAATTTTTTTACGTTTGCTATATGTGTATTTAGATAATGATTTACTTGCCGATATTCTACCACCTGTTACAACAATGCTGTCAATGGTAAAGTAGAATTTTGTTTTGTCAAAAATCTAAAAATGTTTATTACGACTATCTCTACACTTGCCATAAACTCAACAAATAGAAAAAATTCTTTCTTCTATGCTAAAACAACTCAGGCGTACTGTGTCAGAAAACGAACAAAATCGATCTCACAAATGCCTTTAGCTACAAATGTCATAATCTTATTTTGCATATGAAAATAAAGTGTTTTTCAAAGTTTGATATCAATAAAAGATTTAGCATGTCAAAGATTTGAACAAAATAAAATTCCATTGGACTACTATTCGGTAGTGTTAGTAGACGTTTTACTCGTATTGAGAGTTGTTTTAAAGGGTCGTGTTTTCTGTGAGATATGTAGACCGCAATGAGTTTTTCGGTTTTTGCCGACAAAAAACAAACTAACGCCTCACGTGGAAATTAGTAACGAAAGATGTATTTACTTCAGCATCGAAATATGAGAACATTGTTTAAACTTTCCTCGCTATATATCAGAGGATGGATGTTGATTAGAAAAATGGAGGTTATGGATCCTCAGTGTGCTTATCTTACACTGTATGTTTAAAAATCTAAATAATTCATTTATTTACTCTTTTTGATAAAGCGATTTTTATGCCGGTATGGCCGAATATCTCTTACAAGGGATTTCTTTTTTGATGTCATATTGTGACAGTACATTTGAAATGTTCGAAGTGATTTCATAAAATACCTGAACGTAATGCTTATCAATATCAATTACGAAAGCAAAACTACATACTATATCTGTGAATAGACGAAATTTTTAAAAAAATCTTTAAGTCTAAAGAAATTTTAATTTCAAAAATTTACTAACTCGTACAAAAGCCACTTGCAAACGGTTTCTTTTCACTAAATAGTCTATGAGACTATCTAGTCTGAAAACAATTTGTTTTTGGATGCAGAATTTTGTAACGAGTACCTGTATTAATGTTCCTTAGAAGGGACATTAGGTCGTAAAGGGTATTAAGCAGCATTAGACCCCCGAAAAGATGCCGAAAAGGCCGAAAGTCCGGGACAAAAAGTTCGTGGGCCAAAATGCAGGCCTCCCGATATTCAGTTGAAAAATGCCCACATAACTCGAAAACACGAATAACTGATTTACGTAGTCAATATTAACAAATTTTTTCACTTGAGGCCCGTAATACATGTTGCAGAAATCCTGAGAAATCAGAATGAAAGCTCGATGTCCCAGCAAAATTTTGCTTCGTTCAAATCTTGAAAACATTTTTTGCCCTCAAAAACGGAGGTTTCAAAACATTCCTTGTACCTTGTATAGAATATATGCCTGAAAAAGGGAGTTCTAGAATCTTACCAAGACAACGTTTAGAACGGATTTCATTTTAGTGCTAAAGGATGAAGAGAAACTTGTTCACCAGTTTGAAAAGTGACATTGCTCAATGAAACGCTTTTCTTTTTTGTTGTTTTTGGAGGAAACATTCGTCCAGTTGCCATTGTCATCCAATCGTGTTGAGAATTATATTAAGCAATATCCAAGAAAAGGAAATCATAGTAATTTAGACAAAACATTGTTTCGTAACTGTGATTTAGAACCAAATCATACACATTTTCTGTTATTTGATGATAACACGTCAGATCGAAAAAACGTTATAGAAGCACGTACAAAAATTGAGCAGTTATTTAGTACAAATCTACGCCCACATGATCCTACGAGAGGTAGCAGTTAACTGTTATTCACCTAGGAAACTGAATGACATGCATCGCCGTTCTTGTGTTTTTCAGCTTATTATACTAATATACCAATTGTAATGATATTAATTGGCGGCGATTATTGGTCGTTCGTAGCTTTATGCGAGGCAGTAAATGCCGGCACACCTGTTGTTATTATTAAAGTACGTTTTTTCTGTTGTCTGTTGTTTCGGAAACTATAATCCTCTTGTTGTGGTTACAGCATACCGAAGGTCTGGCTAAAATCTTAACAAAAGTATTTAAATCATTTAATTTGAATGAAAAACTTCGAGATGATAATATGAAAAATGTTCATGGTGAAGATTATGAAAAGATAATCAAAGATTTAAAATCGTTGAGTCCCACTTTTAATGGGCAAACCGGAGTAGATATACAGGAGACTAATAAAATACTTGAAAATAATATCGAAATTTTACGTAAAAATAAAAATTTAATTGTTATATTTGACGCTAACAAAGGACATAATCTGGAAGATGCCATTGCCCATGCTTTGTTACAAAGTATATTGAAAAAACAAAAACAAGCCATCGCTCAGTTAGATGAAAAAAAATTTGATTTAACAAAGGTAGAAGAAATACAATGGGCCATGGTAAGAACAGAGTAATAATGAACAGTATCGAAATATATACGTAATTAAAAATGTTGTTCTTCAAAGGTTTGGAATAAAGTCGAATATGCAAGAAAACATATTCTAAGTGATGAAGATGAAGAATTTTCATTAACTCAACGTTATGTGGTATGTATGAGTGATTCTGGAGATTCTGATGAATTTGGTACTGTCTTACTTTATCACACGATCTTGTGTCCCTCCAGAGATGGGCGACTCACCACTTTTTCGAGTCTGAGTCGAGTCCGAGTCAGTAGCCTTCAAGTCGAGGTGCGAGTCCGAGTCGCATTAAAAATTGGCAAGAGCCACTTCGAATCATTTTCTAGAGGAAAACTTCCTCCTGATTCATTTTTCTAAGAGCAGATCTTCAATCCTGCCATGTGACGCAATGTTCCACGTAGAATATTCTCAATCTCTCTCTCTCTCTTCTGGTATATAACAAATATAATAAACATCGTCAAAACAATCCCAAATTGCACATGACTGACTCGAAAGTGACTCGAGTCAGTTTATTAAGCTTATCGAGTCTTTCATCCCGAGTCCGAGTTCGAGTCCTAGTCATAGAAAATGCGACTCGAGTCGCACACAGAGATGGGCGAGTCCGAATCGTGACTCTGATTCGCCCATCTCTGTGTTCCTCTCACTTAGACAGAATCGCACTTGGCCAAAGGAGGGGTCTGTGTAAGGTCGGGGATCGGCTCACTTTCTTTTCCGAGCAGAAATGGTCCCATATGTAGTAAAAATGTATTTCTGTAAAGTCTCTACAAACTGAGCTAGTCAGAATATCTTGACTGGTGGGACCACTCACCAAAGAGATACAAAAGAAACGTTGGAGTGCCGAAAACGCCTGTAGAAGACTCCTTTAGTCATTTTTTCTGTCACAATGGAAAATTATATACCTTTCAAAAATATACCATTAGGTAGCCCCTGTAATTCTCTACACACTGAACTAGACAGAATATCTAGACAGGTGGGATCCGTCGATCATTAAAGATATGCAGAAAAAGCGTTTTACTGTTATATGTGCAGCACGGTTTGTCATGATCATGAGAACTTCTTTGTTTTTCATTTTTCAGTAAAAGCCGGAACTAATCTGAATACTCTTTTGAACAGCCCGAAGATTTTTCTGTCAGATGAAGTGCATATCGCCATTTTATGAGAAAACTTGATATTAGGATTTGTTGAAACCCTGAAGGCTAGAAATCCAAGTCTCAGCTTTTCCTCCGAAAATTTTTCAAACTACATAGCCTGATAGAGCAAAGAATTCTGAGGAAAATAAGGTATCTCCCAGCTGTCCATAACCCTTTTTCACCCAACTGCAGTCGATTTATGAATGGTTACATAGGTGGTGAAAATTACCAAAATATTCTGGTAAAAAAGGGTTATTGACAGCCGGGAGATACCTTATTTTCCTCAGAATTCTTTGCTCTATCAGGCTATAGAGTAACACGGAGTTATAGTTAAAGAGACACCCCTACTCAGACTCAAGTAAGATACACATTGTTCATTTTCAACTTACGAGGGAACATTCCCAAGTGATACGCTCCGTTTCGATTCATTCATATCTCATTCGATAGAGTATATTGAGATAAGAAAAAGGCTAAAAGGATTTGTGCTCTTGACTCTTGAAGACCCAGTTT